CCAAGACGGCAGACGGATGCTGACCTACACCACAGCGTCGTTCATGGAGACGCTGGCCACTTCCATCAATGTTTTTTGCTCTTCTCCCCAAGGATAAAATGATTGGTTTTCTATTTCATCAGAAACTACTATTTCCACTTTGGGGAAGTCAGAAAAAAACAAACAATAAAAGTCCCAAGAACACAATTTGGAAAGAAGATTGTGAAGTGAGATTATGAACCTGTAACATACCGACACAGAATCAATCCTTTACCAGAATAATTTGTACTTTCCTAGAGCACTTAATTTTCTAAAACTCACCAAGGGACTTTCGCATATTAGTTTTCTGGTGACTCTGATGGGTCCAACTACCCAGAACATTTTTAGGAACTGATAAAAACTTACTTGTAAGTCGGGAATCTGAATCCACGATGAGACAACAAGGCATGTTTCTTTAATAACGACACTACAACAAAAACTACCACGACAAGTAAAAAGTTAGAAAAGCACAAGTTTTTTTTTTTTTGGTTTTGTTTTGTTTTTTAAGATCTTGCACCTGATTTGCTTTGGTTAAACTGGCTTGATGTTTGAGAGGAATATAATGCTAACTATTTTTAAGACTTGTGAATTTTGAGCCTGTTTGGCTCAGATAAATTTTTTTTTAATAAGGGAAAAGTCATCATTTCCTAAAAACCTACTCTAGGCCAGCACTTTACATACATGATCTAATCTTTACAGTAATCATGTGTTTCGTCAAAGAACCCGGTGGCTCAAACGGCGACCAGTGAGTACCTGTAATAGAATCTGAGACTAAAATCTTGGTTATTACTAAAAGTGAATCTCAATACGGAGATTCTGATACGGGGGCAAGCTCCCCAAAACAAACCGAAGAAAATGAGATTTGTAAGTGCTGAAGGGAATGTACATTTGAGAATGCTGCAAAGAGGAAAAACAGGCCAGAATCCTGTAGTGCACCATCCTGTTTGGTTACAGTCGTATGTCTTCAGTGCCTAATTAAAAAACAAAATGAAAAAATTCTCTCTCCGCGCCTGCACACCACCCCACATCCTAGCCAACCCCACACAGAGGCGGTTTCATTTTGACTTTGTGGATGGTACGTCAGTGGTAGAAAACTCCAGGCATATAATGGCTGGGACGTGGAGGGTTCTAGTTAATTAAATTTCCTAGCTGGTTTAACTTCCCAAAAAGTAAACAACGATATGACAACAAGTGAAGTTTTTTCATGGTCTGTCATCATCTTCAAGACCTTTCCAGGCCTCAGATCCATAAATATTTAAAAAGAAAAAAGAAAATTCACTGTTGTGCTGTTCCTTCTCCTCCCTAAATTCTTGTCCTTGTTTTTAACCTTTAGTGGAAAAAAAACACGCTACCAAGCAATTCTGTGACTTAATCACTGCTACCGTCAAAATTAACACCGCTCACCTGATCCTCAGTAGCATTCAAAATATTCAAACCAGTTACCTATTGTTCTAAATCTGTTTTGACCAGAGGAATGAATCAAAACATAATTATTTGAATGCTAGCTAACCCAGCAATGAAGAAACCAGCTTATGGTAATCTCTCCTTTGTCCTATCTTGCTGTATAAAATCCCTTAACACAGGGTGAAATATAAGGCCCTCTCTCCAATCACCCTTAAAAAACTAAGAATATTAACTCTGAACGCTACAGGGAGTGTTTTAAAATGACAATGGAAACCATATAGAGCACTATTTCCAATTCTGTGCCAAAGACCCATTCGCCTTACAAATCCATTTAATCTGTATCCTGCTTGACATTAGGACCACACTTCCTAAACCTACCAAGATGATGAAGAATGGCCTCAGTCACAGAGAAGAGGCCCCAAGAATTTCATGATACTCCATTACGCAAGAATGGGCAGACAGAATTACAGATCTGGGTTCTTGTCCTGCTCCATTGTAATAGTTAATTATTGTTTTAGAAGAGCAGTTCATGTTATGTTTAGCCAGATAAGACCATTGTCTTTCACATGGTTTTAAAATCCAGGCCAACTTTCCACAATGGCCACGTTATTCCAGGCATTCTTGTGGCAGATACTCCCTAAAGGACAATCTGCCTAGTAAAATACAGAGAGCCCTTTAGATAAAGTATCAAAACTTTTTAACCTGCCTGGAGGCAATCAGCACCTGAAGGCCACTCCCCAAGCTATTCCACTTCCTACAGAGATGAAGTGACTTTGAGTAGAAGAGCCTACTGTCCACACAGCCTGTGTCCTCTTCCCACGAGACACACGATTCAATAACATGTCCTGGCCTCCCCTGGGTCAGGTGTGGTCATGTGGCTGAGTTCTGGCCAGGAGAACATGAACAAAAATAATGTGCTCCATGTCCAGGCCTGGGCACATAAAAACTTCCCATACCCGAACCTCCCTCTCCCCCAACGCTGACTTATGGCAGCTGAGCACAGCCACTTGCCAAGATGAAAGATTAAAGAACAATAAGACAAAAGGAACTTGGGTTCCTGAATCCGTGTCTAAAGGAAAACAGCCCACCGATCAGGGCAACCAGCGAGGAAGAGATTTATTTCTATCACGTATGAGGCTCTGCACATTTAAGGAGTTTACTACAGCGGCTGACATTACGATAACTAAACAAAATACAGGGGCAACCTTAGATCAAAATTAGGCTGATCTCGAACCTAATGTTCTAGAATTAGCAACTCATGAAAAAAAAAAAAAAAAGACATGTGGGATGGAACCTCTAGATACGTGCAGATATGTACTGTGGACACCATACTCGGTCACAATAAAGCAATCCATTCCAGCATGCAGTAAAAACTGTGCTAAGGAGCTGAGGTTGAAGAAGATGTTCTGAACCACTGATCCTTAATTTCCATAGTTAAATATTAGCTGGTATAAATCACCAAATATTTGTCAGGATTCTCCACACTTCCTTTGCCAAAGGTATCATAATTCATGTTAAAATACTAAAATACAGTGTCGGCAAACCACATGAAATCCAACTCTGGATTCACTAGAACACTACTGCTGAAGTCATTTCACAGGGAATAGTAGGCAGTACAGTGGACAGAGCCCAAGCTGAGTTTCTTTAGCTTTTGTTTTCAATGGGAATTTAACATCGAGGCCAGGTGTGGTGGCTCAGGCCTGTATTTCCAACACTTTGGGAGGCCGAAGCGGGTGGATCACCCAAGGTCAGCAGTTCGAGACCAGCCTAGCCAACATGATGAAACCCATCTCTACTAAAAATATAAAAATTAGCCAGGTGTGGTGGTGGGCGCCTGTAGTCCCAGCTACTCAAGAGGCTGAGGCAGGAGAATCGCTTGAATCCAGGAGGCGCAGATGCAGTGAGCTGAGATGGCGCCACTGCACTCCAGTCTGGGTGACACAGCAAGACTCCGTCTCAAAAAGAGAAAAAAAATCAATGTAACGTCGAGAAGATGCCAGCACTCCCCCAGGGAAGTCACACGTGTAGTGCTTTCCTTCTTGCCGTGCCAAGACCCAAACTGGGTGCACCACCACAGCGACATCTGCTTTTTCTGTTGGCATTCTTCTTCCATTCTTTGGTCCTGCTTTTCTTGGGTTGACTTCAGTGAATATCTTCACTGCAGGGTAATTTAAAAGATGATATACAAATAAATTCTACCAAGGAAGGAAAGGAAGTACTCATGAAGTACCTACTACACATCAGGTCCTTTCGCATACTTAATTCCATTTATTTTTTCTGACAATATGATCGACATATACCATGATTTTCCATTTTCCAAATAAGAAAGTGGGGAAGATAAAAAAAAATAACGAAAACTCACTCAAGGCCACACACCGAAGTAAATCAGAACAAGTTTCAAGTCCCGTGACACCTGACTCCAAAACTCACTCTTTCCATTTCAAAATGCTCCTTTTGACCTACAGCATACTGCCATCCTTTATACAAGGGGACAAAAAAGGGATCACCGCTCAATTTTTATTTCTTTGAAATATTCACTTTAGAGAATCAGTGGTTCTCAAAATGTACACATCCTCTGACTTATAGCTTATTATATTTCTACAAAAGCAAAACCTCCACGCTTCCTTCTGACATCAGAACAGGTTACAAGTTGTAACTTAGACACCTTAGAGGATAAGGCCAGGAGAGGAAGAGGCCTGGCCCAAATGATCCAGGTTTAACGCTGCCTCCCCTGGAAAATCATCCTTTCTTTCTTCATAGTTTTGTATTCCACAATACTTATTTCAGAGGGGTTTTTTTTCCCCACCAATTCTTATGATTTCTAACACCCATTTTAAAGGTTACAACATTTTTAAGTTCAGTGAAGCAGGCATACATTGAGGAACTTGAAACACAAGGAACAGTCATGAGCCTTCTGAGTGTTGTAACAGGATTGTTCTACAATGTCTCAAATGGTAAAATGGTTCCATGCAGGATCAGAAAACCGTTTTAAACACTATTCTTTCCCACTTAAAGAACACAGTGGCAGTCCAGAACAATTTTTGTGTCGTATTACTGTAACTATCATTGTATTTAGGTAATTACCAATTTACCTAGCGTTTTTTAAAGGGTAGGCAAGCTAGCAAACTCATCATCAATTCTCATCAGCAGTTTTTAACAGTATTAAACAAAAGCTGGTAACCAAGAATATCAAGATTAACATTCTTGAGTTGATGTGAGTTTTTAATACTAATCATAAGCCATCCTAAAATTAGGTGAATTTTATAATAACTTAATAATTATAAAAACTTTATAATAACTTAATAAGAAACCATTTTTATGACAAAGATCCACTCGGAAATACTCTTTCTTGTTCAAAAGAGAATTGTAACATCAAACATTTTCACCACAAATATTTTTATAGGTGACATTTGAGATGATAGAAATACCAGAGCCAGGTTCTTTTGATCACAAAGGTCAAAACTTTCTCCTTGCTCGGAAACCCTGCTGTGCTATATCACATCAGAGTCCTTCCCATCCCCTTCTTGTGCCTCAGCCAAGCACCGCAGAACGGAAAAGCACGTTATTTTAGGCCTTACCTTCAGATAGGATCCATAATATTTGGTTACGTATGGACTGTCACACTGACTCAGCACTGTGATTTCTTGTTGAATGTCCTCTATCTCATCTTCAGCTTCTTCCAGATCAATGATTTTTATGGCAACCACTTTCTGAGTCCGATTGTCAATGCCTTTGAACACTTCGCCAAAGGAGCCCTTCCCAATTTTCTCTAGTTTTGTAAAAAGCTCTTCTGGATCTGCCTTTAGGTTCTATAGAAAGAAGGAAAAAGAGGGAAAGTTGAGACCCTCATAGCACCACAACTTCTTTTTCATTTTATTTGTAATGTTACAGACCCCACGGTCTTCCAGGGACTCATCTATTTTCTGTGTCCAGGATCAGGCTAGTGGTGAGCACAGCTCCACAGGTTCAGGGTGTAAGATTTCTAGGTCTCACCTACACGTGTGCATCAGACTGTGAAAGGGAGCAAGCGTGCAATAAGAACAATTACCCAGCGAGATGATAAAACAAGGAAAAGGCTCCAACTCTTGTATAACGAGAGTAAATTAAAATCTAAGCGCTTATTTGAACATGTTAGGATACACGGATTTATTGAAAAATAACTCTTGTCTAAGCAAAAAATTCTCTTTTCTCCCCACCCAATCCCCAAAACTTCCTGATTTCAAATGGATTTTTACTAAAATGTTAACCAGCTAGATCACAGAACAGAAAAAAAAAAAAAAAAGGTATACCGTAATTACCCATCTTCATGACTAGCACTGCCTTCACCAAAACGGTAACAATCTAACCAGATTCCAGAAAACAATAAGCAGCCTGGTTTCTTTTGACACACAAATGCTGTACCCCGGAAATAGCTTCTAAAAGCTCTTAACCACCTGATTAGTTGCACATACTGTATAATATACATTTCCAAGAGGGCCAGGAGCTCAAGCTCTCATCCTAGCAGCTATGCTGTTAGAGTCACGTCAACAGCCAAGTTCTCAAAGGGGTCAGTAGCCTGTCATCCACAGTTGTCTGTCAGGAAACTAAGGAGCAATCCTGACGTTTAGCAAAGCACGACAGGGACGCTGCACATCTCCCCACAAGTAACTGCCCAGCACAAAATGCCAATGGCATCCTGGCGACAAGCACCAGCCTGGAACCCCACAGAGCAAGAAAGGACTTGAGAGCTGCCATTGCCACAGCACAACTTCTCAGAATTGGTCCACAGGAGGAAGACGATGCCAGACCAACCCTCAAAGTCTATCCGTCCTTTGAAGAAGCTGAAATACGAAGAAAAGGAACAAGCGCGAGGAGGCAAAGGAGGTAAATAAAGAGAACGAGAAGAAAGATGGCGCAGAAGAGTGGTATCCACAGAGCAGTGTGCATGCGCGCAGGACACACACACACACACACACAGAGCTTTAGGGCAACTGCGGTGCATTATGCATCAGGCAAGCCGCAGGGTGGCCACCCAGTCACAGCTCTCCAAGGTGAGACGCACTGAGTTCTGAGCAGCGGCTCTCTAAGGGTACTGCTGAAGGCCAGTCAGCCCATTTCCGGTTTGGACACCTTACCATGCTCCAGCACATCCACCATGGCAACAATACACACGCTGTCACAATGACACACGAGTGGACCGCCACAGTGACCTCCCGCACACCGGGCAGCAGGGCCCCTGCCCCACGCTTGAGGCTGCACATCAAATAACGCGAAAGCTCACAACTATCTTAGTAAAAAATGAACAAAGTAAGGCTGGCGTGCTGGACATAGACCCAACGGGAAACGCGTCCTGGGGTTACCGAGCGAGGAGGACATGCCAGAGGCTGGACACTGAGCGCCCAGCTCACACCGGAAGGTCATGGCCGGCGTAATCCGAGGTCTAACGAGCAGCCAGGGATTACAAGGACTAGTTTTAGCCATGATCCCCCTTGGCTCCTAAAAATCCAAACAAACGTCCATTGTGTTAAAAATGAACCTGTCTATGCAACTTCTTTTCTACTTAAAGTGCTGCACTAAACATATCAATTGGGTGATTAATAGACATGCATTTAATTTTTTTCTTCCTGAACAATCGCTAGTGTTTTCAGTCTGAGCCCATTTCAAACGTCTTTAAAGACACAATCATACTCAGGAGGAAGTCTGGCTGTGTGTTCACAAGGTTTTAAAAAACACAGTCCAAGACCCCTGGGGTTACCAAGATAGTCCATGACCCACAGTCCGAGACCAGCGTAATCTCCTCAAGTGAAGGCTGTGGTTGAAGCTAGTGAGCAATCCGGCAATAGGCTCCTCTTATTTTCAAGCCTGTCAATGCCCCAGCTGAGTAGCATCCGTCACTGTTGGGAATGCCCCAGAATGCCTAGGTGGGTGCCGCCCATCTAACTTACCCTGCGTGTGGCCTCGAACCCGCACCTCCACCTCCTCTAACACAAGCTGCTAGGATGAGACACTTTTGGGGATGCGGGGGAAACAGCATGCATCTCTTTTTTTTAGCTGCAATGAAACACACCCCATTTTCGGCAGCTAACAACCTTTCGTGCCTTCTCCCTTACCTTGCTCCCTCCAGGATGAGGTGGGGTGGTCCTCCTTTTATTCAAGGCCAATCCCCAAAGCTGGTCTCTGGAGTCCATCCCTCTCTCCTCCAGGATACGGTTTCGACAATAACCCCCTTCTCAGCTCCCTCTTCATTCACCCTTCTCTGCTGGCTCTCTGCCCTTGGCAACATGCTCCAATGTCTCCCATTTAAAACACACAAAAGCACCCTCCCTACCCCGAAGTCGTCCTCCTCCACTCTCTCCTTCCTCTGGAGTCCCCTGAAAGTCATCTGGACCTGCCCGGTCCACCCCACCACTGCAGCCTGGCTCCACTCCGGCTCCGGTCACAGGGCTGCAGTGTGGTGTCTGAGCCTCGTCAACCACGCCCTCCCCCTCCTCCAGGTAACTTTCCAGTCCCTTGGCATCCACAGCCCTGCTCCCACTGGTTTCTTCCAGTCCCCCGAGTTCCAGAAGGATCTTCATGCAGACTCCACCTTGACCCCACCTTGCCAGCCCTCACTCCAGGGCATCATCCCAGATCCCAGCCTGGGCCTCTATTCCTTCTCCCCAGGGGTGCCAGACAGTTTCAGGGTCTGGGGCCCTTATTTCCCAAACCTGGTCAAGCAGAAATCACCTGGGACATCTGACATTCTTGCAGAAATATGTGGGAATTCAGAAGGGAACAACACCTAATCCATGTTTTTAAAGCACCCCAATGGATTCTGATCAATTGCCACCTTGAAGGAAAGGCTGTGTTAAAGGCTCGTGTACAGGACAGCTTTCAAAGTGCTAGCTCGGGCCTGCCTTCTGAACGAGAACGCCCGGACCAGCTGCTTCCCGGGTATTGTCTCTTTCTACCCAGACATCTCAAGCTCAACATGTGTGGACAGAATTCGGCACTTCCGCTGCTAGACTGTCCTCCCACAGTCACCCTCTGCACTGTGCCATCTCTTTTGCACAGCTGCAAGCTGAGGAGTTGGGGACTGTGTCTCACATGCCTCTAAACCCCTGTGCCCAGGTATAATGAGTGGCATGGGACTGTGGTTGGTAAACATACCGGGCAGTAGGAAAACCCCAGACTCACCCTGGCACTAACAGGACCCAGGTCAGACACCTTAAAGCCTATCCTCCATGCAGACAGGAGTCCCTGGAGGGAAGGGGGCAGCACTTCCTGCTGACAAGGGCGAGAAGGGTGCTAAGAGCCTGCCTGCCTTGCTCAGGTCAGAAGAGCTGGTGAGCCCTGTCATTCTTGGGAGTGGTGATTCTCAGACCCGGGTAAATCTCACACTCCCCTGGAAGGCTTGTTAGACCACAGAGCCCCAGCCCACCAAGAGTTTCTGATGCAGTCAATCAGGTGGGCCTGAGAATTGGAATCCCAGGGTGAGGGAGATGCTGCTGGTCCAGGGACCACACCTAAAGAACCACCGCCCAGCACAGGTGGGGACAGGAAGCCAGGCGGCCCCAGCAAGGGACTGGCCACTAGAAATCACAGTGTTAGGACAGCTGATCACCCACTCCAGTAACTGTTCTGCCCCCGTGCTAAGAAAACAGTGGCCTTTTCCTTTTTGAGAGTTAATTTTAAAAGTGGGCAACAAGAATTTATCCAAATCCTCACCGTTCTGTTGAGGACCTCGTGGGAGACTGTTAGAAAAACCACCACCCACAAATCTCACCTCTCTGGGCCCACACCCCTATGAATGTAGAACCTTGAACCTGGGCTCGTCTTGCTCTGTGTTCTGATGAATATAATCTAAGCGAGGCCGCAAGAGGGCTCACAGAGGCCCCTCCGCAGAGGCACGTGACCACGGAGCAGCAGAAAGCCATCCATCGAAGATGTTGTGGTCAGAAAGACGAGGACATCCACCCACTTCCTGGACCCCAGCTGAGGCCCGAGGATGTGCCTCAAGTCATCCAAGGCCACGTGGCCTCAACCATGCCATTCACTGACTGCAGAGAGCCCAGAAAAGGCCAGCAAAACAGCTCAGTCAATCCACAGAATCATGAGAAATCGTGAGCCTGCTGTTTTGGCCACTCGGTTTTGGTTGGCTTGCTACTCATTAACAATAGGCACCAAATACAAAAACTGATGCTAGAAGCTGGGCAGTGCCCCAGCAGAGGCCCTGACAGCCCATGCCTGGCTCTAGGTCAGAACTGCTACGGCCCATCTGCCGCGAGATGCTCCATCCCTGCCCTCTTGGCAAAGGAGTCTCTGCTGCTGCCCCACTCTTCCTGTCCTGCCACTCTTGTTGAGCTGGGACTCTCTGATTCAGAAGTGTGTAGCCCGTCCACACCCAGCCCCGAAGCAGGCAGGGCACACAGACCTTGAGTTGGATGCTGTGCCAGGAGGGAAGTGGGGAGAAGGCAGAGAGACGAGTGTCTCCTGCATGTGTGAGCGGCATGAACCCTTGGGACGGGAAGGCAACCTTGTGGATTGTTACAGTAAAGGCACTAATAACCCGTCCCTTGTGTCTACACCCCCAAGACTTTGTCCACTGCTCCCGTAACAGCAGCCCACACCTGGAACTGCCTGGCCTGTGGTTCCTGTGCCAGTGTACCATGTCCAAGGTCAAGCCCCAAGGGGCCCCATTGCGTTCGCTCTGCCTCTCGGAACGCCTCCATTGGCAGCATGTGAAGAGGCCTATTCTAGCCACTGGAGAGGCCACATGGAAGAGACCAAGGCACTGGCTCAACACCCAGCCAACTGCTAGGCCTGGGCAAGACGCCCGGCCTTCCTCGCT